AATAATTAGCCAGTAAGGAAGACCAATACAAATGGATAAAATTTTTAATGTCCAAACATGTTGAATTGGTTCCCAGCATATACAATGTAATAGAATTGCGAATAGAATGGCACAAACAGATACACCAGATACCTGAACGGCTAGTAAGGGTAGCTCATGGCCATCGTGGCCGATGGCACCATCCAGGGCAAAGAGGGCCTTCACATCGTCAGTGACATAAGGCGAAGCCACGATGTCATCCACTGTGAGATGAGTGGCCTTGGCATGAATGAAGGCGGCACCGGCGTCATTGCACTGGATGTAGATGGCTCCATCAGTACTCGTGGCCAGGCGCCCCACGAGAGGGAAGAAGTGAGTGAGGCAATCAGCCAAGGAGACCTTGAGGTTATCAAGCACAGAGCTCAGAGAAGATGAGGGTTGACCTAAGAGGACACCTTTCTGGATATAGTGGGCGGAGAGCATGGCCAGATCCCATGGTGTTAGGTCATAGCGCTCAACAGGCGATGGTCGAGATGGATGGATTGTGCACTTTGTGTGAGGAAAGCTTGAGGGGATGGGCGCCATGGCTTGTTGCAGGCTTGGTGATGGTGGGTGGTGCAATCTTTTATGTGAAGTTACAATGAGAGGTGTGCTTGACTCACTTCCACTTTGTCAAGTTGGACTGGGCATCCATGATTTGATTGTGGGACGGTTGTTGGGCTTTGGGTTACGTACAATGGATAGAAACCAGGAAAAAGCTTGGTGCTTATGCTTTGAGTTCAGAATTTTTTATCTTTTTAGGAGAAAATATTTTAAAGTGCTTACATTTGCTTTAGATTTTTTTTGGCAGTTTAGGAGAAAATATTTGAAATATTTTTATTAATGGAGAAGTTTTTGTGAGTCAGTGGATGCATGTGTCATCTGACCATCGAGCATCCATCTGTAAGATGGACGTTCAGAGAAAAGATGGTGACCAAAAAAATTCAAAAGAAAAAAAACACTTACTTGAATTTGAAAATGTTGTTTTAAATTTTTTTATAGAACATAGATCTCTTGAAATTTTGGATCCAAAATCTATCTTTAAGATGGATCTGAGAGTCATGATGATATCACATAGGAAGGTCTTTATCAAAATACTTTTGCTTCTCACTTCAGGCAGTTAGCAATAATCTTTCCGCATACTTCCGGGAATCTATTTCGTGTGGCTTGGCAAGAAAATTTTGAGTCATGGGTACATAACCCTCTACATGTAAGGGTAGATACATATGCATATGTGAGTCGGCAAACTCATAGAAACCCAATCCTTTATTAATACATCCTTAAACAACTAAAGTAAGAGGCAAGGCTAACCCCAAACCTCAATGATGGGCTGAAAATCTATTTCCCCTGATTGTGAAATTTAATCCTCCAAAAAAGAGTACAGAGCACATCTATAAATATTTTAAAATATGAGAATAGATAGTGCAAATAATGTATTACAAAATGCATTACTTTTAATACTTACAATCTTTTTTGTATACATACATCGAGACGATTGTTGATTCAAAAGTGTTTTCCAGCAAGTTGGCAGTCTCGATTCTGAACAAATTTCTCTTTTTCTCGCCGTTCAGATTTGTGTCTTCGATTTCACGATGGCCATAAATTTGGACTTGAGATGATTTTGAGGGGGAGATTGTGTGGAGCAGGGGACCTCTGGACAAGGTGTCCAGACACATAAATGAGTGCAGCCTACAAGTCATGGATAGGATATATTGAAAAAAACGACTAATGCGATCTTGTCGGGGAATTTTTTTTTTTTTATTATTATTTATCAAAGATCACTTACAAGTAGTCTTATTACAATAATTCTTGTTTCAAAGAAAATAAAATTTACCAATCCAAAAAAAAACTTAAATTCCATTAAACTAATTTTCTTTAACCAAAAAAAATCACCACAAATCTTGTGCTTGAGAATGTAAAGACTATAATATTAAATATGCAAGAAACAAAAGAGAATACAGGAGATTACCTCAACCGGGCTTATTACTTCCCATACCGAGTCACCAATATCCGATGGCGCGGGATCAGCGGTCTAACTTCAATCTTGAATCGGTAAAACAAGTTTCGGCCAAACTGAGTATACACCCTTAAATCTCTACAAAATTTAACCTCCAAAATATTCTTGGCTTAACCTTAATTTCCCAACCCTTAGTATTTTTAAGACAAGAGAGAGAAAGAGTGGGAACCCTAGGGTTGGGGTGTGCCCCTTTATGAGCTTTAGGAGAAAGAGGATTAGGGAGAGAAAGTTGGAGAGAGAGTGGGGCGTGCCTTTGTTAGAGAGAGGAGAGAGAAAGTTATGGGCGAGAGAGAAGGTGTAGAGAATAGAAAGGTACAACCCTATTTACAGAGAAAAATTAAGTTTAAGGTTTTTTAGAGTTTTTCATAGTTTGTCTCTTCTTGATATTAAATATGGACCGTTGGTGAATGTGACTTATAGGGTGAGCGATCTGAGCCATCCATCCCATAAATGGGCCATCAACATTATGGAATGTGCTTGGATCATTATCCTCCTTTTCTTAAATCATTTTCCCATCAATATATTTAAATAAATTGAATCTTATTTAAATATTATTCATTCCATAAAATAACATATTCTTTCCCATACTATTTAAAGATATATCAAGTCAAGATATACTTTCAATATTTAGAATAAGATGTGGTCAATCTTTTCCATATATAATATTAGATCACATGCCACAAAATACATTTTTTAAATTTGAATAGCTTGACAACAAAGCAAAGAACCAAGAGGTAGGGCGTGCCACCCATGTGTGGCATGTGTGGGCCCCACCCACATGGTACATGTTGGGCCCATGAGCATTATGGGCCCCCATGATACTTAACAAATTAATTTCTAAAATATTATTTGAATTTTGTACTTTTTTAAAATCAATAACTTTACTTTGAAAAGTCCAAAAATTATAAATAAAATATCAAAAGACTCATAAAAATTCAAATAACAATTCTAAGATAATTTCTATCATAAGACAAACATAACTAAATTAACATGATGGGAAATAGATCCATATGGTTTGGGAATTGAATTAACAATCATGGGGCACTCCACCTTCAACTGTGGACTATGGGCCACACTTGCTTTATCAGACCGACCCAATGTTTCCATAACCCACAGTCCAAACAAGGGCTCATTAGCGGGACACCAAAGTCTAGCCGATGAGCCAATGGATCGCAATATCAATCTTTGGATTACAGGTCCTCCCCTAGAGACGAATCAAGGTCACCAAGACCTTATGCGAGCACAGCTCTATGGCGCATAGGAGTATCTCTCGTACATGTATACGCTTCACCCTAAAAGGTGGATATCTGGCTTTCTTAAACGATCTATCGATATGCATGTCGTGTGATGGATCATGGATGAGATTTTGGCCCCTGTCTCTGTAGGCCCACCATCGCACACAAGGGCCACACAGTCCCTCGGCTCATTCATCCAGACATAAGCTCTGACATCATCACTGGATAACCCAGGATCCTTCTCGGTTTGTTCTCTATGCCCAGGTACCTTGGGTTTTTTCCAACCGACTGGCCTATATCGTCAAGCACATTCCTGTATCAGCAAATATTGTTTGCTTAGTATGGTCCCCGAAGAACCACACTCCCACTGAGTTTAGGTTCCACTATATGATTTTATTTTACAAGCACTCATAAGGCATTTAAAGGCCACATAACCCCAATATCTCTCACTTGGCATTTGAAGGCCTTACATTCTCACTTTCTCTCATTCCCATCTCTCTCTCCCAATTATAATATCTCTTAAGCATTTTACTTATTCTCTCAATACATTAATCATGACTTTCGCCATCAATCCTTTCACAAAAGGATTTATAGAGGCAATATATTTTTCTCTTTGCTGCTCGGATCTCATCCCAAAAAGTGGATGTAACTCATCTTTCACATAGCATCACGAATCATAGACATGTTGTCTCATAAGACCATCACGTACCCTAATAGCATGGAGTCGTATGTTTATGGGATCAAAAGAATTCTTCAAATAAGTTGTTCCCATTTGTAGCCATACAACCAGCACCACACATTTGGGTTCCATGGGTGAAGAACATTATAATCTATTGTTTCATCTGGCACGTCAACTACTAACAGGTGCTCCCACTGTAATATTTAATTTATCTCGATCTCGATCTTTCTCAATCTCACCTCATTCCTCAGGTGATAAAAACATGGTTTTATATGCTTGGAGTTCTTATGGAATCGTGGCTCCTTTGACACACATATCACCGCCGTGCTATCGTAGAAAATTCTTACTGCTTCATAATGCACGAGATGAAAGTCAAGTCGATTAAGGAATTTCTTAATCCATACGGCCTCCTCGATCACTAAACAACACACCACGTACTCAATTTCGTCACATCCTGCCTGTTTTTTTTATTTCCAAAAAACTGTTCCCCCCCAAGCATGAACACATATCCAGATGTAGATTTCACATGTTTTGGATCCGTGAGATAGCTTGCACTTGTATATCTGAATATCTAAGCAGTTAAAAAAACATGGGACTGTAGCAGCTTCCACTCAATTATTGCACATACAATATATACATTATCAACATTCTTATGCAAATATCATGAGGTAGCATATCAAGTTTCATATAATATGTAATTCAATGCCCGTTGGTTTCACAATATGTAAAAACCTTCATGAATCACAAAGGTTCAACCATACTAGACATCTTGGTAGTAAATTCATACAAACAAAGTTATCTAATCAACACAATATGTGTCAATGAAGTCTAGCATGATGGCATTCCTACAGCATTTCTTATGGTTCAAAGTCTTAGGTAATCGAAGATTCTAAATAACTAGAAACATGGGTCAAGGCCTATAGGTATTTAAAAACAAACAATGCATGATAGTTTTTCTCCTACTTTTATAAATACCTCCAAGACACAATGTTTTTCTTTTTAATAAAAAAAATTGACCCGATATGTACATTCACAAGCAATGGTTATATAGTAATATGACAGTTTAAAATAATTTTCATAAAGACTTAATGGACCTTGCAAGATTATGTGGTTTTCTCAAAACCATATTCATAGACTTAGACTTTTTTCAAATCATCCAATTTAATTTTAAAATACATGTTTAGCCTTCATAAATCATTTTACCGCATTCACCTTTAATTTCCTACCAAGTCAAGTTCATAGCCACAAAAACAAATCATCTATACCATCTTATAACTTTATCCAAAATAGCGCATGTGTAACAATCCTAAAATTTCAAAAAAAAAAAAAAAAGGGGGGGAAATGATGCTTTTAATAGGTAATGGTCTGATTGAGTATGATGGTCCTTGGGGACCATCACTATTTTCAAAACTTTTGCTTTGGATTAACTTTTGCTTTGCCTTTACTTTTTTTTCCTTTGCCTGCTTTTGCTTCCTGCTGCTTGCAGCTGGCAGCGTCCTTTAGCGGACGTGGTTTTCGTACGATAAAAATCTGCTTTTAACGCGACACTTCAGGTATGAGGTAGAGCGTAATAAAACAATATAATAATACGTTATAAGAATTTAAATAGGGGATG